GTATTTTACTCTAATTCCATTTTAAACTGTATTTTATCAAATTTCATTTTAAATTGCTTTTATCAAATTTTAATAATAATTTGTTGCCGGAACTTTGCACTTTGATATGGCCCAAGGGCTAATCAATAAAGATGATTATTATTATAGTCCCAACTGTGTTGTAAATCGAGGATTACCTGTACATATACTGCATTTGGACTGCATGCTTAGATTGTTTTACTTCCATTGTGTACAATATAGAAATTAAGATTATATGAGTTTTCTTGTTTATGTTATTGTATCTGGCAAAGCTTTCTGAAACAAATTACACTTCCTGGGGAAAATAAGGTAACCTCTTATTAATACATCATTTTTTTATATTATCTGTCATATTCTAGAAAGATGACCTTACTTCATTTACTATACTTCCTGGGGTTGACAAGGGTTATTAAGAGAAACACAGGTTGGGGAAAACTGACTTTTATATATGACTAGGTTCATACATTGCACGAAGCCAGGATTTCTAAAGAATTGTTAAACAAGCCACAATAGTTTGATTAACGTATAATGTTTGAGGCTGAGTTAAATACTATATTGTGGATTTTGTTATATGTGAATCAGGCCACTGTGTATTGTCACTGGCTATTTATATTGTTGAAAAGTAGTTCAGTCCACATTCAAAGGAGGCTGAACGCTTTCCTATTCAGTTGACATCAAAGGAACTCAAACTAGCAAAGAATATTTTTCAGCTGACTTCCAGCATTGTCACTTGAAACCCACTTGGCATCTGCACTTTCACATTGGGATGATTTTATGGGAGATCTAAAAATGTCTCATTCTACCTTGGAAAATTTTAAAATGTGGATTTGTTCAGGAGGCAATGACTCACAGAAGCGAAGCATTCAGAGGATAAATCACCATGCCAAAAAGTTAATCTTGTGAAGGCTTCCCTATTTAGCAACTGAATAAAAAAAATATTGTGACAAACAGCAGCATTAAATCTCAGTCACTGCTACCCTCCTGGAACTGTCCTGTTACTCTTAAACTCAGGAAAAAACAAAAACAGGAGGGGGGGTATCACAAAACTAAAATTAAGGAAACCTGAATTTTGTACATTTAAGCAAACACTCAGCAACCTATGCAGAAGCTTCCAGCCAAGTTCCTGCTTATCTGCTTACCCTATCGTCTAGCTTGTTATCATCAGCTTCTACTTTAGGGGAAAGATTACCTCTATTATCAAGTGGAGTTACTACTTAATTATAAAGCCATTCAGTGTTGCTAAATTGTATGTTAAATTCTGAATGACCACAGTTTCAGCCAAATACTAAACTCTCCTAGAGCAGGGGTGTCAAACTGCTGGCCTGCGGGTGGGTTTCATCATACCGAAACCGGGCCCACCCCATTGCCTGCAATGCAAAAAGAGTCCCGATAGGTTGCAACACCTGACGTGGCAAGTTTGACACTCTTGTCCTAGACAAAAAGCCCATTTGCTCAGTGTGTATTCCAGAGCATGCAGTTCTGTTGACACTAATCAAACCTGGTCCAAGAACAGATACAAACTGCCATGTATATCGCCATAAATGCCTCTTTCACATGAAGAGCAAATGTAAATGTGACAGATATTCTGAATCAATGCATTTAGATAAGCTATGAGGTTATAGTCCTGAATATGCTTACCTGGAAACAAAATTCTATCTAACTTATTTTACAAGCTTCAGAATAAAATGTAAGAAACCACCAAGAAACCAAGAAGAAATCAAGAAGCCAAGAAGAAACCAGCCTGGTTGCACAAAGATCTCTCTGATAAACTGAAAGACAAAAAGGACAAGTACAAAAAATGGAAAGAGGGACACATAACTAAGGCTGATTATCAGCAGACAGCCAGGACATGCAAAGATGAAGTCAGGAAAGCAAAGGCTCAGAATGAACAAAGACTTGCAACAAAAGTCAAAGATAATAAAAAAAAAGTTTCTTTCAACATATAAATAACAAGAAAAAAGTCAAGGAAACAGTAGGTCCACTTAAGAGAGAAGATGGCAAGGAAGTAACAGACAGTAGAGAGAAAGCAGAGCTGCTTAACTCATTCTTTGCATCAGTCTTTACACAAAAAGAAACTATAGCCCAACCTACCAAAAACCTAACTGTAAAAGAGACTAAAAATTAAAATTAAAATAAGCAAGGAAGACAGACTAGAAATAAAAATTAAAACAAGCAAGAAAATGATAAGAGAATACCTATCTGACATTGACGAATATAAATCACCGGGACCTGATGGATTACATCCCAGAGTTCTGAAGGAGCTGGCAGATGTTATCTCAGAACTATTGTACCACTTCTTTCAAAAATTCTGGAACACTGGGAAATTACCTGGGATTGGCAAAGAGCTGATGTGGTTCCCATCTTCAAAAAAGGAAAAAAAACAGACCCAGGAAACTATAAACCAATCAACCTAGCATAATACCTGGGAAGATACTGAAAAAGATACAGTAATCAAAAAACAGATCTGCAAACCAATGGCAAACCAATCTTTTTATTCTTTGACAACGTGACTACATTAGTAGACCAGTGAAATGCTGTAGACAAGGCATTCAACAAAGTAGACCACAACCTACTCTTGGTAAGCTAAAAAATGTGGGATAGATAGCATCACCATCAGATGAATTTGTAACAGGCTGACAAATCATACACAACGAGTCATCCTTATTGGTACTACATCTACACGGAGGGATACAAGCAGTGGGATACCACAAGATTTTGTCTTAAGCCCAGTATTCTTCAATATCTTCATAAATGACTTAGATGAGAGAATAGATGGGGAACTCATCAAATTTGCAGATGATGCTAAGTTGGCAGGAATAGCCAGTATCCCAGAAGACAAGCTCAGGATCCAAAAAGTTATTGACAGATTTGAACAATGGGCCCTATCCAACAACATGAATTTTAATGTGGACAAAAGAAAGGTTTTACACTTAGGCAGGAAAAATGAAAGGTACAAATACAGATTAGGTGCAACCTATGTCAAAAACAGTAACTGTGAGAGGAATCCTGGAGTCCTAGTGGATGATTACTTAAATAAGAGCTAGCAGTGTGCGGCAGCAGCCAAAAAAGCTAATATAATCCTTGGTTGTATAAACAGAGGCATAGAATCAAAATCACATGAAGTATTAGTATTACTTTATGAAGCCTTAGTAAGACCACACATGGAATACTGCATCCAGTTTTGGTCACATTACAAAAAAGATGTTGAGACTGGAAAAATTGCAAAGAAGAGCAAAGAAGATGATTAAAGGCCTGGAGACTAAAACATATGTAGAACATTACAGGATTTGTTTGGCTAGTCTAGAGAAAAGAAGGACTAGTGGTGACATGATAGCAGTATTCCAATAGTTGACAGGTTACCACAAAGAGGAGGGGGTCAACTTATTTTCCAAAGCACCAGAAGGCAAGACAGGAAACAATGGATGGAAACTAATCAAGGAGAGAAGCAACCTGGAACTAAGGAGAAACTTCCTAACAGTGAGGACAATTAACCAGTGGAACAGCTTGCCTTCAGAAGTTGTAGATGCTTCATCACTGGAGGATTTTAAGAAGAGACTGGACAGTTACTTATCTGAAATGGTAGGGTCTCCTGCTTGAGCAGGGGGTTGGACTAGATTGACCTTCAAGGTCTCTTCCAGCTCTATTTGGATTGAAATGTGTTCAGCAACAGCAAATGTCTTTGGATTATAAATCACTTATGTGTGAGAGCAGTTACTTATGATTAAACCCATTAATTCCATTATTAAACTCATTAATTCCATTTTCCCCCAAACAGTTCATTGACTGTTTCTTCACTGATTGTGGATGACTGAATGATTTCCAGACTATCACTGTTAGACTGTGGAGAGGCCTTGTCCCAGCTTGATTTTTCCAACCTCTTTTTTTGTTTACAATTAATCTGTCCCTTATGAAGAGAAAGAAAAGTAGTTCCTTAGTCACAACTTCAAGTAAGAATATGAGGTCCATATAGGTACTCTTGAGACACACATAAAGGTGTCTCCTTGTCCCCCTGTAACATCAGTCAGTTCTGTCAACAGAAAGTTAGAACTTAAAGAGATACACAAGTATAACAAATGCAATCCTAATAGTATTGATAGGACTCATACTATATATTACAAACATGGATATATCAATGGCCAATATCTCTGCTCTTACATAGCTATCTTCTCTAAGTTCTTAGTGCTTTTTTTTTTTTTTGCTGTATAGCATTCAGGACATTGTGTTCAATTGGTTTATGGGATCAACAAGCTGGAATAATTAGAGTAATGTTTCTCAAAATTGAAAATTTGAAGATGTGAAGACTTCAACTCACTGAATTCTGGGAATTGAAGTCCACGCATCTTAATAGTTGCTATGGCTGAGAAACGCTGATTTAAAGAGAAACCCCTTTGAGCAACTTCTGGTGACTACATAGGCATGCTCACCTTCTTTCCATGGCAGCAATATAGCGTTGCCTTCCTTTAGGCAATGTTTTTTTCCCACATCCCATTGTAATTTATGACTCTCTGATCTTCTGTTCAGACAGTTTATTTTATTTTTAAAAATCAGTCAGTGTTCTTCACCTACTGTGACTTTGGTCTTTTGCACATTCTCACGTGCAAATGCATCTGTAGTTTATCTCACTATCTCTAAGAAAGCAGTCAACCGTTGGAGCGGGATTATTTAAATGCACCATAACCTTTTTTTACGATTTTGGTACGGCTGGAGACCTGCAGACGCTTTAATGAAGCTTGCGATTCTAGGTGCCTTTACGTGCCACTAGTAAGGGCCACCCTAATCAACCGGCTCTCGTGACGCTTGCTTACTCGTTAGTAGGCCCTGTGTTTGATAGCTTTTTTCTCCCCCGACGCGGACAAGAAATCGTGGCGTCGCGGCTTGGCTTTTGGGACTGCTGGTTACGACACTTTCATCTCTCCCCCCCCCCCCCGGCAGATCCACAGAGAACTGACCAGCGAAGCCAGGATTTCTAAACCGCAGCCCCGGCCGTCCCCGCAAGATAAATCAAACCCCGTCGTGCGAACGCTAGAACAACCTTGGCCCGAGTGGGTGGGGATTCAGAAGAGGGAGGAAGGGGGCGGATCAGAGCCGAGGAAGGGAGCTAACAGGCGGTCGGTCGCTTCAATTTGAGCTAAGCTGGGACCGGCTCGGGAAGGGTTAACGCGGCGGCAGTTCCTCTCCGGTGCTCCCCGCAGAGCCTGTTATGGCCTTTAAGCAGACGTCGCTAATGCATCCCGCACCAGCCCCCTTTCGGGCTGCCACTGGGGTTTCCTGCTTGTGCGACAGGCACTGAGCCGAGCGCGGCAGCCTTCCTGCGAGCCAGCTGCCTACGGAGCAGAGCCCGGGAACCGACGGAGGCAACGAGCCTTCCCTTAGCTGATATACCCTGAGCCCGGGTTCCTCAGGTGCGGCGCTTGCACTCAGTCGGGAGCTTGCAGACAACAGGTACGAGGCGGCGGGAAGGGGCGGCCAGCAGCGAGAGCGGCTGCTCTTGCCGGCTAATGAATGGGCGCGAGGACGCCGGCAGCGCGTGCAGGCCCCACTGGAACTCGAACGCGAGGGTTCGGAGAGGGGCTGGGGACTGGAGGGGAGGGGGGGGGCTGACCAGACCTCCATGTCTCACCCTCCCCGGACCTAAGGAAAGGGCAGGGGGGGGGCTGTGGACAAAAGGAGGGAGGGGGGGGAGCTGGCAAGGCTCAGCGCAACCCCAGAATGAGGAGAGGAAGGGCCTCGAGCTGAAGCAGCAGCCTCCTTTCGACCTCCTTGTGATTTAGAATTTGCCTCCCCGCTCCCCTTTTAGTCTGCCTCTTTCGTTGTAGCTTTTGGGGAGGAGAGAGGGGGATCCCATAGTTGAAACAGTCAGAGTGGGAGAGGCATTTAATCCTAGGAAGGGTTCTCTCCCCTTCCTCCCTTCTCCCCTTCCTGAGAACTCTTTTTTTAAAAACAAAAACAAAAAAAAAACTTTTGTCCCTCACAAAGTCCCATGTGGTAATGAGTGGGGTGCTAAGCAAAAGAAGCCATCCCACAGAAGAGTGCGATTCTTGGTGGCTCTTGAAGGGTGGAGAACTTGATTGGCTTTTTTATTGTTATTGGGTCCTTTGATTTTAATTATTTTTTTAAGATTCTGCAGTTAGGAATAGGTAACTTGCTTCATGCACCCAGTTATTTAGCCCTTTTTTGGCCTTCCCACAATACCCTGGACCACAAGCTGAGCAGTGATTCTGGATTTGCATAATGTGCTAGACTCAAAGATAGTTGATATGTAGTTCTCTGTGTGGTTCAAACATAGACACTATGTTTATTTGGATACCTTGGTTTTTCCCTGTTTGGAAAACCACTTAGGTGAAGATTGCCTTCTTGATGAAACACACATTATCATCCCACCAAATCCAAATTTTCTTAGAATTGGTGAAGTTAAGAAGCACTATTTCCACCAACAGATCTGACAAGGAGAGTCCTTAGCTGCCCAGGCACAGCTTTAAAAATATGAAAACCCAGCATACATAAATATCAATTCGAAATACTTGGTGCTTAGATTGCTTTTCATCTTCAAAGTGCTTTCACACTCATTAGCTGAATCTCTGCATCCCCTGCATGGCGGCTTAACCTGGAATGATTTATATAGAATATCAAAGGGGGCTCTTTCTAATGCTGTCTTGCGCTTCTGAATCTTGCTTTGTTCTTCCTTGTCTGAAGCTGCAATTTCTTTATGTCAGGAGAGACTGCACCCCAGTTCTGAAGATTAGAGAAGAAATGGCATAGTGTCTGTGTACACAGGTGATGGAAAATGGCCAGGAATGTTCTCCTCTTTTAGATCAATGATAGTTTAATAGGGATGTTAAAGAGGAAACAAGGCAGTTAAACTAATTTCCTTCTACTTTCAAGGCAATACCTCAATTACAAAATTCCTATACTGTTTGTGAGAAAACAAGATTGGGCGGAGTGATAGTTATATTGTGTTGCTTTTACTGAGTATTAAGCTGTTACATTTTCCACACAATATTAGCAATACTTCATTGTGACATATAAGTTAATAGCACGCTGTGGAAAAAAGATGAGCACATCCTATGGCATTTTGTAGCATGCCAGCTGCCAAACAAGATGCTGATATGCAGTGGCATCACTGATGATAGTGTGGAACAGCATTGGGTGTTTAACTTTATTAAGGTAATTAAGGATTTTTTTGTGGCTGGAGTATAAAATATTTTTGTTAAGAAAAAATGTATATGGCCACCTAAGTTATTCATGGTGATTTCAGGTGGCTTGCAGAAGTAAAATCCCAAATACAAAATCCAGTAGCCCCTCCCCTTCACAAAAACAATCAAATCACAAAACATCAAGTGCCTAGTATTGGTCCAGAATGTCCAATCTTGGTAAAATCATTGTTGTGAAAGTGCTTTAATAAAAATGGAATTAATTACACAAACCAGACATATTGGAGAATGTGTAAGCAGAATATAATGATGAAACATATATAAAAAATAAAAGTGATTATTAATGCTGGAGACTACTAAGTAAAAGGCAAACAGCTGGAATGAAAATGCCTGATTTTCCACTCATTATTTGAAAGAATAATTAAAATCTGGAAGCTAATAGTTAGCAGTGAGGTTGTTATAAAGAATCTGAGAGCCAGATTTTTTAAGGGGCGAAGCATTTAATTTAGTAAGACATTTTAAATTAAAATTCCTAAGTGTATTTTGTAAAATTATATATTTGGTGGGTTACTGCTTTATTATGTATGCATTTTTATAACTTTAAAACAGTGTGCTTGGGTTGATTTGGGAGGAGATAGCAGGAGTCACAAATTAGCAACAGCTGTTACACATTTTACTCTTCTCTTCAAACATCTTAGGAAAAGCTAAGAATTTCTTGAAAAGATGGCATCTGTTGCCTTCTTTCTGTGCTGGCATTTGAGCCTTGGCGAAAGAGCTGTGCCAAATAATCACACTATTTTGCTGCTGCCCTTAAATTATTCTGGGTATTTCAGAGATGCATGATTGAGGAAGTGGTTTGACAATGTTTGGCTCTTTCCTCCTAGAAGGAGTTGTTTATAAAACAAAGGAACAATATGGTACCTAGGAAGGATGTATGGGTGTAAAGGCTGCAGCCAAATAATAATGGTCTGGTTTATATTCCACATAAGACTACAGATTGAATACAATTCTAAAGCTAGGGTTACCATATCTTGCTATAGAAATCTAGATTATTAAATAAGAGCAAAGAGATATATGAGATGCAAACTCTTTGCTGTTTTGTACTAGTTGCCTGGATTTTTGCTTAAGATGGCTCAAGTTAAACATTTTTATAAAATGGACATTTTCTAAATACCACTTTGAAAATCCTGTTGGAAGATGCATGTTACATTTGCAAATATTATAGATACTTGTAGTATTTAGACTGAAATTGATGGCAGTGACGAATGGATTTGGTACTATGATGTACAGTAAGACATCTTCACTTTCTTCAGGAAATCTGGACACTGGCTTGGAATTGGAAACTCCACTCAAAGGATTATCCCCCCCCCCCACCGCCCTTGTAAGTTAGCAGAACTTGTCAGAAGCCCTATGCAGGGGTAGGGAACCTTGATTCTTTTATGACTTGTGGACTTCAACTCCCAGAATTCCTGAGTCAGCGTGGCTGGTTCAGGAATTCTTGGTACTGAAGTCCACAAGTCATAAAAGAGCCAAGGTTCCCTACCCCTGCCCTACAGTTAATACTTACCAGATATTAGCTGCAGACGTTCTTATGACCACTAGAGAGCAGCAAAGAGATACAAAAAAGTTTCTTTGCTGCCATCTCCTAGTGATCTGGATTGGGCATCACAGATCTAGTAGTATAACTGCATTAAAGCTACAGTACCTGTTTCTCCTTTTCCATATAGTTAGCTGGATGAAAAAGGATGAAAAACATTGTTCTTCCTCAGAGACATCCCTTGGCTGCACAAAGACCTAATCCCCTTGTGCTTTTCAAGTCATCTTTCAAAAGGAGCTCTCATAGGAGTTATGGACAAGAAAACGTTAATATATGAGAATTGAATTTAGTATTGAAGATCGCTAGACTAATAGAGTGGTCCTTGTTCTCTAATTTTGATCTGATCAAAGGTTTCAGATAGCTGCCACAAAACAAATAGGTGGAGGGATATAGTTCCAGTATCGAGGTAAAAGGAGTCCCTGTGTCCCTAGTCATATCTGACTTTAGGGGGTGATGTTTATTTCCGTTTCTTTAAGCCATTGAGCCAGCGCTGTTCAAAGATGTTTCTGGGGTCATTTGGCCAGCATGACATCACACGGCAGTGCAAAGCGAATGGCGAAAATCAGAACACTGTTAACTTCTCACCGAAGTTATACCTATTTATCTATTTGCATTTACATGTTTTCAAACTGCTAGGTTGGCAGGAGCTGAGGACAGTGACAGGCGCTCATTCTGTCACACAATGGTAGGGATTTGAACCGCTGGAGTACAGACCTCTTGGCATTTTTTAAGCCATCGAGACACCGTGCCTCTTTTTCAGGTAATTGCTACAGAAGAAAGAGTGGTTCCACTAATGCCTAGGTGAAAATAGCTTTGAGTGAGGATCTTACTCTGTGTTGCTGGATAGGAGAGAGGGAAAGAACTTGAAAAGAAATTGCATTAATTAAAATAAAGGATTAAAGAAAATCAGCAAATTGCAGATGTGGATTGGCTTGGCAATCTACTTGTTCTGTGTCTGCTATTCTTTGTGTTGTTCTGGCTTCAGCCTTAAACAAAGCACTTTATGATCCCAGCTGGAAGGCCCCTTTTAGCTTCTGAATTTACAGCACAGCTGTAGCATTTAGCCAGTAACAAGCTGATGGTGGCAGTTCTTCGTTTTTATGGGTATGTTTGCTTGTTCTTTCGGAACTCTGTATTTTTTAAAAAAATGTTTAATGGTAACTCTAAAATGAGCATTGTTTCATGGGAATGTAGATTCTCTTTCCAGTTGAGATTGACTCTTCGTGATTTGATGATCATGTCTGTACAGTTTTCTTTTTGCAGCATGGAAGTATTGCCATTACCTTCTTTGAAGATAGTCTTCCCCTGTCCAGGCTAGCTATCTGGAATTTCTGCTACCGGTAGCTACCCATCTAAGTACTGACCAGAGCCAGCCTTTCTTAGTTTCCAAGTCCATCCTGGTGCTGAAAACTGAATGCTACTCTTGCTTAGACTTCCATTAAAATAAAAATATCGTATATGTATAATAATTTTAAGGCATTATAATACCTATCTGTTTATTTTGATAGATGGTATTTTTTTCAAACATGGTCTGGGGAAAGCAGTTGGAGTGCAACTCATGTAGGCAGATACAAAGATATTACGCTGCCCTTGGAAGTTCTACATAGATCTCCTTTGGCTATGATCCATTCATGGGCCCAGCTTTTCTGTATGTTCTTCAAGAGCAGAGACACTATTCAAAAATGTAAAAATGT